TTGTGGGTCGGTCTTCAGGTCCCAGATGTGGATAGCGCCACTCTGGTCACCCACAATGAGCTCCGCCTGGGGTGTGCGGGGCAGGCGAGGCGTGAGCACGCTGCTGGTCCCCCTAAGCCCCCTGGGGTGCCCGGCCCCAGGAATGCCCCTCACCTGGTTGGGGTGCAGGCACACACAGTTAATGGGCGCGTTCACCTGAAAGATGCGCTGACACTGCAGGTTCCGGGACCTGTGGTGGCGGTCAAGAGTCACACACTGTCTCGGGCTGGATGCCCTGCCCTGGCCAACTTCTCCTCCAGCTGCTGGGAATTCTGGCCTTTCCTCCCTGGGGAATGGAAGGCCAGCCCCTTGCCTCAAGGTAGGGATAGCTCCATCAGGCTTTTCTCCTTCCTTCACTAAAGCGCCAACACAAAGCACCCTGGCTCAGCCCACAGCCAACCCTAGGCGGGGCCCCTCCTGCCCAGCACCCGGACGGACACCTGAGATCCCAGATGCGGGCGGTGCAGTCCTCCCCGCCGGTGTACATCCAGCGGCCGTCCTCGTGGAAGCCCACGGAGGCGATGTTCTTATTCACCCCGTCGTAGCTGATGATGGGGTTGGGGTTATTGGAGTTGAGGTCATACATGCGGATGTGCTGGTAACCTGGGGACACGGGCGGAACTGAAGCAGGGCTGGGTGGACCCGTCAGAGGTCGGGAGGCAGAAGTCAAGAATCACCTGTACCTGCAGCAGCAATCATGCTGCGGTCGGGCGTGATCTCCAATGCGTTCACCTGCTGGGTGTGTTAAGGAAGGGGGCAGGGAAGAGAGCCGGGAGGCCCCTGCTGGTGTCCCGCCGGGGCCACCGTCCCGCCCCCGGGCGGGGTAGAGGATACGGAGTCCTGGTGCTGCACGGTGCGCGTGCAGATCCCGCTGTGGGCCTGCCAGAAGCGCACGGTGTGGTCGTAGCCGGCCGTGGCCAGGATGACCGGGTCGCTGCCCACCGTGCCTGGGGAGGTGTTCATGGCGGGCCGAGGCCTGCCCGGCGACGGTCAACGCTCAGAGCATCTGGGAAGGAGACGGGCGTGGGGGGCTGGGGGCACGGCGCAGGCGCGGCTCGGACGGCCTCAGACCAGCCCAGGGCCCCCCGCCGCGTGCGCCTTCCCCGCCGGCCGCGGCCGCCCGCACCGGCCAGTCACGCAGGAGGCTGTCTGCCGCAGGAGCGAGCTGCGCATGCGCGGCCGGGCAGGCCGGCGAGCGGGCCGCAGGAGCCGGGCGCCGCGACTGCGCATGTGTGGCCGCACGGCGGCAGGCCCTAAAGGGCCGGGGCGCTGTGGGCCTGGCCCTCCCTCCCTCCCCCCCGCCGCCCCCGAACTCTCCCGTTGCTCCGTCGAGCTGCCCGGCCCCGTCCTTCTGGAATGCTCCCCCGGCCGGGTCCTCCCCGCCACCCAGCAGCCGCGTTCCAGCCGCCGTCCCGCGGCTTCCGTACCTTCACGCGCGCGCAGCGCTCGGCCGCGGCCCAGGGCGGCTGGGAGAGCCGGAGCGAGTCGATTGAGGCCGGGGCCGAAGCTAGAGTGATCGATGGGCCCTTCGGACGAGTCCACGCGGCGCGGGAGGGGGGAGCCGGGACGAAACCAACGTCCTGCGGCGGCGGGGGGGGCTCCGGGCCGCGGCCGACTTCCAGGCCCCTGCACCTGCATCCGCCACCAGGCCCGGGATTGCCAGGCAGATTCCAAGCTGTGAATGTTGGATAAGCAACGAAGTTATTTTATTTTTAGGGTAAGCATATCATAAACGTTGCATGGCACGGACTTAGACCAGAGAGTGTCACCCACAAGCCAGTACTGTCAGCTCTAGGGAGGCTGGGGCGGGAGAATCATGAGTTCAAGGCCAGCTTGGGCTACGTGGCAAAACCCTGTCCCCCCAAAAAATAAATGTTATATCTCCTGTAAGTAAAGAAATTTAAAAAAACAAAACAAAAACTTAGCCCGGTGCCGGTGGCTCACGCCTGTCATCCTAGCTACTCAGGAGGCTGAGATCTGAGTGA